AAGCAGTCATTGAAACTGACTGACTGACCCTCATCGATTAATATACTCTACACAATGCAACAGATTGTTGAAAAGAGGGCGTTTAGCACTGTCATCAACACTATTGCGTCTACATATTGACAATATTTTTATTCTCCAGCAATTTTTCTCGTTCCATCACCGATAAAATGAATTGCTAGTACTAACGCAGCCCTTCTGCAAAGAGTATACAAGCATACATCTTCCGCAGTAACAGCAATAACTCACCTAAAATATAACAGCTACATGCACAAGCTTGCCCTGCGAGTCAGTCAGAATGATTATCGCTGAATTTTGTTTTCGATTAATGGTGTTTATATTTAGCGGATGTAAATTTTGAGTAAAATTTTAATAAATTGAGGTGATTCTTTGCGAATAAAAATAGCAGAAAATGAAGTCTGGAAAAGCAGAATACAAATAAATTAAAGCATAAAACTGACAAACTTAAGTCCAAAACAAGCACTCGCTACCTGGTGAAAACACAGCCGGAAGTAAAACTTAACATCTAACAACTTTTTATAACAGTAACATTACTCAAATCATTGTCAGCTTTAAAATCTATACTTCCATTTAAGCTTTATCGGAAGCCAGAAATAAATACCTAAATTACAATCTAATCTAAAAAACGCTGACAATTTGAGCACGTTGTTCTCACATTTCCAGTTGATCACTAAAAGTTGTATACCTCGATGAACTCGAGCTAGCCTCTGGAGCACCAGTCTGAGACTGCAAGTAAACTTCCACAGCCATGCTCAGGTTATTGTCGCACGCTTCCAATAGTTGGGCCGCAGTCGCCTCATCGCTACCTAATTAAAACTGACATAAGCAACACCAATGACATGGCCAAAAATGAGGACTTAAGACGTATAAGGACAATAAAATACCTGTTAGATCTTTAAAACGAGTCACTAAATCTTGCTCCATTAATAATTCCAAGTCAAGTTAGTTGTTGTTGATCAAATTTAACTCCAAAATAAATATAACTACCAATCAAAGAGAAACATACATAGACGAATATCCACAGCACTGTGAGTGTACTGTTAATCGCTACAGCTGATCTCCAGGGCCAAATCTATTGTTGCGTATATTTTAATCCATTTTAATGGTCAAAATGGCATAAGATTCGGTCAATAAATACATGACGCAAAACAGTGATTCGACGAAACTGCAACTGAAATGGCGAAAAATGCATATTATAAAAGATAAAAAGTATTTTTATTTTACACCAATATTGCGGTAGTGTAAAATAGATTAAGGTCTTACCGCAGTATTGCACCCCTCCTTTGCTTCTAGTCGCCTTGGGGACCATTTAAGCAGGCCACGACTAAATGGTCTTTAAGCGCCTGAGTGCAGACGACGCATGACCGCGTCTATTAGGTGGGTTAAGCAAGGACATGATCGAGCAAAAGCACAATAGCCACTGACTGTAGACAAATAATCAAAATTAATAAAACAACCGACGTTCTAAAGTATCTCCGATTAGTGGAAGTATTGGTGTCTAATGTGTTTAAGCTTGAAAGCCCTTGTTCAGCGCAACTGAAAGACGAAGTAATGCTTCCTGTGCTGTGTAGGCACTTAAATGTCATGGAGACGCTGTCTATTTAAAATTCCCCTTAGGCGATGAGAAGCATGCGGGTGGCGCAATACTGCGGCAAGATGTCCATCTGCATTTCACTACCGCATTTTTAGTGCAAAGAAAGAAATACATTTTTATACTGTAACTTTTCGCCGTTTCAATGCTATATCATTATTACTAATATTATGACTGCCATGATCTATACCGACGTTTTGACTGGTGTCTCACGAGACTACTTCAAGGGAAAATATTGGCAGAACTTCAGAGATTTCGTTGTC